AAACGCAGCTAAACCACAGAAAATTGAACTATATGGAAGTCTGACAAACCCTTCAGCCAGACTGGTAAGAGGGGCAGAGTCAGCAGCAGAACAGGGTCAGGCAGGAAAGATCCACCAGACCGACCCGGGTGCGTGATGGAGGCACGCAGGCAGCCGTGGTCGGATCCCAGGTGTGGAGAAGCGGGTGGACCCACTGAGGGCTGATCGTGGTCACACATTCGCGTGGAGATAAACTGGGGAAAGAGCGAGCAGTGAGACAAACCGCGCAGGCCCCAGCATCGGAAAGCCGCAGAGCGAACCGCCATTGTCCCTCTCTGACCCCGCCCCCACATACAGCGTCACAAAAAAGCGACCAGGGTGGCCCTGCCCTGGTGAACAACTAAGGATCTGCTCCTCATACGTAACAGGCATGAACAGATCAAAACATGTCTCAAGAACAACTCAGAGCCCCAGAGCCGATAAATCTAAGCAATGAAGAAATAGCCAAACTTTCAGATGCACAGTTCAAAACACTGGTGATCAGGATGCTCACAGAACTGGTTGATTTTAGCCACAAATTAGAGGAACATATGGAAGCTAAACTAATTGAAATGAAGGGAAATACACAGGAAACCAATAGTAATGGAAAGGAAACTGGGACTCAAATCAAAGGAGTGGACTAGAAGGAAGAAAAAAATGACCAAACAGAAATGAATGAAGAAACAAGAGTTCAAAAAAATGAGAGGCTTAGGAACATCTAGGACATCTTTAAACGTTCCAACATTCAAATTATAGGAGTATCAGAAGGGGAAGAGGAACAACCACAAGTGGAAAACTTATTTGAACAAATAATAAAGGACAACTTCCCCAATCTGACAAAGGAAATAGACTTCCAGGAAATCCAGGAAGCTCAGAGAGTCCCAAAAAAGGTGGGCCCAAGAAGGAACACACCAAGGCACAGCATAATTACATTAGCCAAGATTGAAATGAAGAAGAGAATCCTAGAAGCAGCAAGAGATAAGGGGACAGTCACCTACAAAGGAGTTCCCATCAGACTGTCAGCTGATTTCTCCAAAGAGACCTTACAGGCAAGAAGGGGCTGGAAAGAAGTATTCCAAGTCATGAAAGGCAGGGACCTATATCCAAGATTGCTCTATCCAGCAAAGCTTTCATTTAGAATGGAAGGGCAGATAAAGTGCTTCTCAGATAAGATAAAATTCAAGGAGTTCATCATCACCAAGCCCTTATGATATGAAATGTTAAAGGGACTTATCGAAGAAAAAGAAGATAAAAAAGATGAACAGTGAAAGGATAGCAAACTCACAGTTATTAACAACCACACCTAAAACTAAAGCAAACTAAAAGGACAGCTAGATCAGGAGCAGAACCACAGAAATGAAGATCACATGGAGGGTTAGCAACAGGGGAGTGGGAGAAGGAGAAGGGGGGAGAAGGTACAAATAAGTAGCATAGATGGTGGGTAGAAAATAGATAGGGGGGAGGGCAAGAATAGTATGGGAAATATAGAATCTAAAGACCTTGAGACACATGGTCATAAACTAAAGGGGGGGGGAATGGTGGGGGAGGGGTGTGCAGGGTGGAGGGGAATGAAGGGGGGAAATAGAACAACTGTAATGGCATAATTAATAAAATATATAAAAAATTAAAAAAAGATTTCATTTACTTATTTTAGAGGGGAAGGGAGGGAGAAAGAGAGGAAGAGAAACATCAATGTGTTTGCCACTCTCTTCCTCCCACCCACCAGGGACCTAGCCTGCATCCCAGGCACGTACGAAGACTGGGAATCAAACCGGCAAACCTTTGGTCCACAGGCCAGTGCTCAATCCACTGAGACATACCAGCCAGGGCTCTATTTGTACTTCTTAATACCCTCAGCTCTCCAAGAAATTCCTGCAAACCCTCCTCCCATCTAGCACCCATCAAAACACTTTCCTTATCGATGGTTCTGTCTCTATTCTTGTTTGGTTAATTTGTTTTTAGAGACAGTTGTTAATAGATATGTGAACTCCTTTATTCTTTTCTTGTCTGGGAAGCTCTTTATCTGCCCTTTGATTCTAAATGATAGCTTGGTTGGGTAGAGCAATCTTGGCTGTAAGTCCCTGCTTTTCATGACTTTGAATATTTACTGCCAATCCCTTCTAACCTGCAGTTTCTTTTGAGAAATCAGCTGACAGTCTTATGGAAACCCCCTTGTAGGTAATTCTGTGCTCTTGCTGATTTTAAGATTCTCTCTTTATTTTTAACCTTTGGCATTTTAATCCTGATGTGTCTTGGTGTGGCCCTCTTTGGGTCCATCTTGTTTGGGACTCTCTGTGCTTCCTGGACTTACATGTCCGTTCCCTTCTCCAAATTAGGAAAGTTTTATTCTTTTTTCAAGTAAGTTTTCCATTTCTTATGCTTTCTCTTCTCCTTCTGGCATGCCAATAATGTGAATGTTGGAATGCTTGAAGTTTCCCCAGAGGCTGCTTACACTATCCTTGTATTTTGGATTTTTTCTTCTTGTTTTTCTCTTTTTTTTTTTGCTTCCTTATGTTCTAAATCATTGATTTGATTCTTGGCTTTGTTCACTCTACCATTGTTTACCTGTAAATTGTTTCCCTCCGTGGAGAATCAGCTGTGCAAGGGCAGGGTAGCGGTGCTCTGATGTGGTCTGTAGCTGTCCACTGGGTGTGTAGGCTCTGGGGTTTCCTGGGTGGTGCAGGCCAAGTTCTACCCACACCTGTGTTTTTTCCCAGGACCACCGTGCAAACAATCTGAGGTGGCTGCTACTTGTGCTGGGCTTGGAGATTCCCAGGTGAAACCAAGCTGTGAATGTAGGCTGGTGCTGCTGGTGCTGCTGGTGCTGCTAGTGCTGGGGCTGGGGCCACTTAGCAAGAAGTTTGGGGGCTGGGGGCTCACTGAGGCTGGCTGTTGCTTGGGAGGTTTTAGGAAGATAAGCATGAGCCAAGACCAGGTGTTCATATAGAAAAGCAGTTTGGGTGGGCCATAAGTTTGGTGGGCTGAAGTCTCAGGGGATCTCTACAGCTGGAAAAAGTGTTAGCCAGGTTGATGGAATCTCACATATGACATCAGCCTGCTGGCTTGATGGCTCTGTGGGTGGAGGGTTCAGAAAAGGGATGGTGGCCTTTGCCTGCCATTTTGTCTAGGAGAAAGCTGTCCCCCACAGTTCTTGCCTTGATGGTAGACACTTCACTTCCTCCCTGTATGTCACTGGTGTCTTTCAAGCAGAGGGAGGGAGTCTAAGTCTGTGTATGGGTTCTTTAAGAGGGACTGCTTGGGACTCCAGAAGTTTTGTCCACTGACTCAATCCTCGCTGGGTTTTGCAGCCAGAAGTTATGGGGACATATTTTCCTGGCACTGGAATCCTGGACTTGGGGGGCCTAGTGCAGGGCTGGGAGTCCTCATTCCAGAGATATCCATGCTGAATTTTTAAAAAAGATTTTGTTAATTTTTTAGAAAGAGGGATGGGAGGGAGAAAGAGGAGAGAACATCAATGTGTAGTTGCCTCTTTCGAGTAAGAGGGACTCAGCCTGCAGCCCAGGCATGTGCCCTGACTGGGAATTGAACCGGTGATCCCCTGATCCACAGGCCGCCACTCAATCCACTGAGCCACACCAGCCAGGTCCCTGCTGAATTTGTATCCACCACACATAGATGTGGAACCAGCCCATTTTGCATCTTCACTCCTCCTACCAGTCTGGATGGATATGGTTTCTTTAACTATGTAGTTGTCAGACTTCCATTCACTTTAATTGCTGACTGTTCCGAGTGATGGCTGTTGTATGATTTAGCTGTAACTTTGATGTAGTTGTGTGAGGAGGTAAGCTGTGTTTACCTATGCCATCATCTTAACTAGAAAGTTTATTGCATTATTCTTCTCTAGTCTTAGCAGTATTCTATACATAATAGGTGTTCAATAATAAGTAAGGCAGGAACCTAGAAACCACTGAAGTTTGGAATGTTTTTCTTTTGAAAACATGTGGAAACATTAAATCTCCAAAATGTCTTTATCCTGAATCCTCATAATAATTAAGGTACTTAAAAACATTTTCATAATTTGATTTTTTCACACCAGTGGGAGAGATCTGGCCTCTAAATCTCAAAATTATACAACTGAAATTAGAATTTTGGGGGATGGATATATTAATGTTTAACATATATTTCAAAGAATAAAAAGCCATTGTTCAGCTATATAATTTGAGGACCAGAGAAAATAGCATGCAAAAGTCTTTTGAGTTGGTCATATTTCAATTCCAATTGAGATTAAACAAGACAAGGGGAAGAAGTTTCACCATAATTCTTCAAAGACCTTTTAATGAAATGTGGCTTTAAACTTTTTCTTTCTTTCTTCTTTTCTTAAAGATTTTATTTATTTATTTTTAGAGAGAGGGGAAGGGAGAGAGAAAGATGGAGAGAAACATCAACGTGTGGTTGCCTCTCATGTGCCCCCTACTGGGGACCTGACCTGCAACCTAGACATGTGCCCTGACTGGGAACTAAACCAGCAACCCTTTGCTTTGCAGTCCGGTGCTCAATCCATCGAGTCACAGCATCCAGGCAGGGCTGGTTTTAAACATTTCCATCTAGCACAGTGGTTCTCAGCCTTCCACAGCAAGTCCTTGGTGAAATTTCCACCAAAAGAGAAATTAAGGTAATATGATTTTTTCAAAAGCTAGGTTTCTTCACTTTAATAGTGTTTGTTCCTTTAAGGTGATAAGATTGTGCTTGACTTTCTTTTTAGTACTAAAATGTTCTCTCTTTTTTGAAGAGGTGAAAGTAGATATTGGCAGTTTAAAAAGTGTCAAGTTGGCAAAAGTCAGGGCCCTATGTAAATCTCTAAAATGCTATTTGTTCATGAAATCTCAATGTCTAGAAATTGCTTCCATACTTTTTTTTTCTGTCTAGGAGGGTACACAAGAGATTCCAGAGAGGCTGTTAGAAATGTAGATTTCTTGAATATAGCTATTGCCTAGGCATCAAGCTTCACACATACACAATTTCTCAGTAAATCTTTATAATTTCAGGTAGGCATTCTCATATTACAGTTAAGAAAATGGAAATTAACATAGGATAGCTTGGCTAAAGAATGTGCTAATAGATGGAACCAAATCCAAGTTTATCTAATTCTAGAATCTGTGTTCTTTCCTAGAATACCACACTACTTACTACAGTGAGTTTCTAACACTTATTTTTGTGAAGAATACTGCTAAGTTTTTCTTTGCATACATCAGGTTGCTACCTTTTCAAATTCATTTTCTGACTTGTTACTTTGCAATGTATTTATAGAGTGGACAGCAAGCATCTAAAAACTAAACTTAGAAGTGTCAGTATTATTCTCTTAAGCTGGCATCCCAACTATCTTTTTGCCTTTTTGTTCAACAAACAACATAAAACCTATCAGGATATAGTCACATGGCAATACCCCAATTATCTGTAGTTGAAAGGACCAGCACCACAACTGACTACAAGTCCTCCTCAGGCAGAAGTCAGTGAAAACTAAGCTGCCTGCAAGATCTATGGGCATCACGGTTCTTTGAAACACTATACCAATCCAGACCTTGAGACTAAGAAACTGACTGGTTAGAAAGCCAATGGTGTAACAACTCCATCTGTCCGGCAGAGTACAGAAGAGTGAGAAGACAGAGATGGGGACAGGGGAGTGAGCAGAGGGCTGAGGAGTATTGCACTGGTGGAAGGAAACAAGTGGCATAAGCTTAACCAAGGCAAATAATACATAATTAACTAGAAAATCCAAATCACTCTGAGACCATGCTGATTAACAAGGACATGATCATGGCTCCCCAGCTTCTTTCTTACATACTGAAAGCAAATGTACAATAGTAAAGAACATATAAGCAGAGAGATAAACTCTCAGTAATGGTCACTTCAGAACCAGAATTAAAATTTCTTTTTTTGTAAAGGTATCTAGCTAATGGATTGTGGAATTTAAAGTCTGGTCTTCTGCTTGCTGAAGATCAAATTATAAAACAAGGCTTTGTTTTTCTTGCATTTCTCAAATTACCAAAGTCATCTGAAAATGAAGTCACATGTTTAACAAGTGTTGGCAACCAACTTTTAATAAACTATTTAATTTTCAGAAACATATGCTAACCATCAACAACATTATCAGGGTGCCATTGCCCCAGATGTTATTTCATTGGTACATTATATCAATATTTGCAAAGACTTTCAAATTCAACAACACAAAACAAAACGGCTTAGTTTTTAAAACTACAATGCTTTAAAAAAATGTAAACAGTTCATTTTTACATTATTGTAAAAAAGAAGACTCACTCCTTAATGTGGCTTAATTTTTTAAGTGAGCAAAGCCTGGTGCTCATGGATAAAGAATGAAAAAAATTCTTTACATAGAAACATTGTGCTCCAGTGTGGCAAAAAAAAATATATATATACACATACAAAGAAAAGAATCTTAAGTCCACAAGTTAGACCACAAGAAAAATCTTGTCCCCAAATTGAGAAATTTATAAAAACCATTTACACATGGTTGTTGACCTATTGAAAACCTATATAACATTTTTAAAACAATAACTCAGTCGAAAGATACCACTTTTTAAAAAAAATGAAATTTTGTGCAAAAGAAATTGTTTAAGCTAGAAACAAGACTCCTTCCCCATTAAGAGGCCAAATGAGCCATTGAAATAATTTAACTTTGTTAAGATTTAGTGCATGTAACCAAAAGGCACACACATGGGATTAATATATTAATATATTTTCATGCAGAAACCTGTGCAAGTTCACAATTATATAACAAAAACACAAATATAACAAAATGTAAAGCCATATGTCTGGCAATGTTACTCTAGCCACATTCCCTTCTAGTCTATCAGTTCAGGGTTTACTAGATCATTAACACTGCCTCTCAAAAAATATATTATATTTGAACATCTTCCAACAAAAATTAAAAAAAAAAGATGTTAGCCTGAAACACTATAATTTTTTTCAGTTCTGATATATAGAGAAACTTACTGATATGTTTATTTTAAATGGCATTTCAAATTAAGATACATTTTTCCTTTTGTTAATAAACACTTTGATTGCTCCAGTGAAGTCAGCAGAGAGAAGAACTTCTGTGTTATCTGTCTTCATAATACCTTAAAATATAAAAAAAAAAATTTAGTTGATCTAAAAGGATTATGAAGCCTGCTGTCACAGTTGTCACATGCCCATGACCTTTGGGGTGGAAGATCCTCTCTCTGCCTCTTCGGTCTCTTTCCTGGCGCGATCCTGTCATCTTTCATCCTCCTCTCTGGGGCTCATTTCCACTTACCTTGTCTTAGCTGGTCTTTCCCTGGCTTGGGTAGATTACAGTCCCTTGGTGCCTGGAGGCCTGGATTTATTCCCAGGCAGCCTAGGCCTCTGAGGCATCTAATGCTTCATTTTATGGCAAGAGGCTAGTGTGTTACTCAGCCCCGGGACTGAAAGTGCTGGCAGGACTGGAGCAGCTGGGCAAGTCTATTGCTAACGGGGTTCTCTAATGAGGTTGACGGCAATATTTATCATACAGTGACATACAGAAACTGCCATGAAATGAAGCACACATGATTGATCAGTGAGCACTGACAGCACCTTTTCTCTCTACGGTCCATATTCAAGAGCTGTGTAACTAGCCACGATGAATGGAAAAAAATCTTACCTCATATTTACCAGTAAAAGCATTTAACAAAATCCAATGTAAACTCAGTGTTATGCATAGGCAAAATCTGTGGATTTGAGGACTGAATAAATAGTAAGGAGGGAAATAATGTAAACTTTAACAGGAAAGTTGTGTAAAGGATGAGTTAGACAAAACTGTTTCACTTAGATTTGCTAAGAACATATCCTAATCCTTAGAAGATTCCTTCCTACCCTTTAGGCATATCTCAAAGAAGTGCTATGCAGGAGAAGCAGCAGCAAAGCTCTTAGGGTTATGAGAGAAAGGCTAGAGAAAAATTAATTCACCTTAAAATAATAATGAAGATGATATGATAATGATAATGTCAACCATATGGCAGGATTTTTTGCGAGGTGCTTGCTGTATGTTATCTTCCATTCTTATTACAACTTTGTAAACTGAGTATTGTCACCATTTAACACAGGAGGAAAATTGGAGCTTACAGTATCAAAGCAGGAATAAAGAGAGGGTGATCAGATATACTTTATGATATCATACCCTGGGCTTAAAATTTTATTCTTAGATTATACCTGGATAGGCACAAAACAGCAAACACAAATTTGAGTATGACCCATTAAAAGTTGTGGTGGCTCTTTTAAATGAAGTTTAAAGAATACAACTTTTCTTTTTTCCTCAAATTGTTTTTAAAAACTACAATTTTCTGTGAAATGTGTAGACTGTTAAAAGATATCACTGGGAAAAAAAGAAAAGGAAAAAAAACCCAAATGACTTAAGTTAGAAGAGAGAAGCTGGATTTGATTCTGAGGGAAAAAAGAAAATGAAAAGAAAGAATTCCAAACAGGCATTTAGTAAAGGTTTAATAATTCTGAGTGGGTTTGTTTTTAGATCCTGTAATTTATGCTACACTGAAGTTCTGCTTTGCTATCAAAATTTTCTTGACAGAAGAAATATTATATTTAGAATAGTGTATAGCATGGATAATACCACAGGGAAATTATTGCAGATTAAATAAAATACAAATACTTGAGAATTTTTAAGCATTCAAATATCTTGAGAAACATTTTTTTATATGCTGTATCTATTTTTGTGGCTTTACAACTCTTTAAAAGGCCAGGTTGTAGTCTCTAAAGTAAGAAAACACATGTAATGAACTATTCTGCAAGTGATTTCAATAATACAAACTTGTTTTTATTAACAAGCAGTCTAGATTTACATGATTTTACTATACGCTCAAGGACTGCCTCTTAATAACTGACACTCAATATTGTATGATGGTTTCTTTTTACTTCCTAATCTGAACATTTTATAGAAGTGGAATTAGTGTTCATTCTCAAAGCATATATTGCAAATGACAAGGAAGTATAGCTTGTAAATAGCTACCTAAGAGAAGCTATACATATGTAGCAAGTAGAGAAAAAACTGCTTTCATTTTGGTTTAACTCATTTTTTTGCCAAATGTTTATTAAGCAGCTACTATACACAGGCAAGTACTGTGCTAGGCAATGGCACTACAACCAATAAGACATATAAAGTCTCTGTTTTCACAGAAATCACAGTCTAGTACAAGGAGCACATAATAAATTTTGTAATATCTGTATGTCTTTGTTTACCTTTCTCCAAGGAGAACAGCTGCCCATTAAAAAAATTAAGAACCTTCAAATTTTTCAGTTTTAATTCCTGGGTGAATTTTATAAAAGTAAAACTTAAGAATATAGTTTCAGGAATCATTTCTATAGTTTGTTATAAAAGTAAAACTTGCAAGAACTATGTTACTGAAGTGTTCAGAAATCAATATCTGACAATCATTATGTTATAAACAAATATAATTCTTCATACTTATGAAAACCATGTAATACTCAATGCTAGGTCAAATAGGCTACTAAGTGTCGACTAGAAAAAAAAAAGTAGGACAAATAAAATATGGGTACCTACCAGAAGACATGGTATCTAAAACTTCAGCATCTTCACTTTCTGGTTTTTCAGATTGCACATCTAAAGACAACATCAAACTTGGGTTTGGAGCAAAGATGGCTGAAGTAACAACTGCATTATGTGCTGGGGAAAAAAATTACTTCAGGATAACAAATAAATTTGATTCTAAACATCAAGACAGTAAAATATTCAAAAAATACAATAGTGTATGTTAACTGCAAAATATCTTTTAAAGCTAACATAAGTGACTAGAACTATTTAAAACCCAAAAATATTTTCTAAAAAAAAACAAAACCAAATACAAGTCCTGAGATCCCATGACTTCTCAAATTTTACACAAGTATAACCTCTTCCTTGGCACAGAAAAATCCGACAAAGTCAAATAAAGAGCAAAAGCAATTATAACTGCCTCTCTGAAATAATGTCCATACAAGTTTGCTTCTAGTACATCTGCACTTGAAATTTATTCACTTTAACTTTATTCGCCTATAAAAAACACACAAAAGTAGGCATTTGCTTACCTTTAATCCCTTCCCAAAAGTCATTACGATCTCTCCTGACTGAAGTAAACTTGCTTAGGTCATGGTAAGTACTCCAAATATAAACATACTTATCTTCTGAGCCACTAACGAGGTAACTAAAATCATGGCTAAATTTGGATAAGAAAAAGGAAAAAAAAAGTTTTTTTAAGGTTTCCTTTTATCAGAGCTTCCTTTTTCTTTTAAGATTTTATTTCTTTATCTTTAGAGGGGAAGGGAAGGAGAGAGGGAGAGAAATATCAATGTATGGTTGCCTCTCGTGTGTTCCCTGCTGGGAACTTGCCTGCAACCCAGGCATGTGCCCTGACTGGGAATCAACCCGTGATCCTTTGGTTCACAGGCCCATGCTCAATCCACTGAGCTATACCAGCCAGGGCCAGAAGCAGAATATTTTACCAATTAAATTACTGGGTAATTACAGTAGCCCACCCCCCTTTTCCACAGGGAATATGTTTGAAGATCCCAAGAATCACAGATAGTACTGAATGCATATACTACGGGAGTCTTACAAGACTATAATGGAGTGGAAAATTTCCTACTGCCCAGTGACACTGTAGCTATTATAATGTCTTAGGGCAATGCATTACTGGTGTTTGTGATGTTGGCATAAACAAACGTACTGCACTCTCTATAAAAGTATGGCACACACAATTATGTACAGAACCTAAAACTTGATACTGATGATAAACAACTATGTCACTGAGCTATCATTTACTATACTTTAGAGTGTAGTCTTTCTACTTATAAAAGGCTCAACTACAAGAGGACTGTGTACTCAGCCTACACAGAGAGATAGTGGTCCAAATAAAAGAACAGATGAAAATTCTAGAAAAAGAGCGAAATGAAATGGAGATAAGCAATCTATCAGATATGGAGTTCAAAACACTGGTTATAAGGATGCTCAAGAAACTCAGTGAGTACATCTACTGCATTAAAAAGATCCAGTCAGATACTAAGGACACACTAATTAAATTAAAGAATAATTTATAAGGAAACAACAGTAGAATGGATGAAGCTGAGGATCAAATCAGTGATTTGGAACATAAGGAAGCAAAAAACAACCAATTAGAACAACAAGAAAAAAAAAAGAATCCAAAAACACAAGGATGTTGTGAGTAGCTTCTGGGACAACTCCAAGCTTTCCAACATTTGCATCACATGGGTGCCAGAAAGAGAAGAGAAAGAGCAAGAAATTAGAAATCTATTTGAAAAAATAATGAAAGAAAACTTCCCTAATTTGGAGAAGGGAACAGACATGCAAGTCCAGGAAGCACAGAGAGTCCCAAACAAGATGGACCCAAAGAGGCCCACTCTGAGACGCATCAGGATTAAAATGCCAAAGGTTAAAGATAGAGAATCTTAAAATCAGCAAGAGAAAAGCAGAGAATTACATACAGGGTGTTCCCATAAGACTGTCAGCTGATTTCTCAGAAGAAACTTTGCAGGCTAGAGGGACTGGCAAGAAATATTCAAAGTAATAAAAAGCAGGGACCTACAGTCAAGGTTGTTCTACCCAGCAAAGCTATCATTTAGAATGGAAGGGCAGATAAAGAGCTTCCCAGACAAGAAAAAACTAAAGGAGTTCATCATCACCAAACCATTATTACTTGAAATGTTAAAAGGGACTTATTTAAGAGAAAGATCAAAACTATGAACAATATAATGCCAATACATATTTATCAACAATTGAATCTAAAACACAAACTAAGCAAAGAAGAACAGAGACAGAATCATGGATATGGAGAGTGTTTTTGATGGTTGCCCAATGGGAGAGGGATGTGGTGATGAATGGGTGAAGAGCTGAGGGGATTAAGAAGTACAAATAGATAGTTACAGAATAGCCATGGGGATGTAAAGTACAGCATAGGAAATGCAGTAGCCAAGGGATTTACATGCATGACCCACTGACATGAAAAATGGTGGGGGGATTGCCTGAGGGAGTAGGGGTGCTGGATGGAGGGGGACAAAGGGGGCAAAATTGGGACAACTGTAATAGCATAATCAGTAAAATATAATTAAAAAATCTTTTTGTAGTGTACATAAAGTATAGATGTGCTGAAGAAAGATATGATTCATGTCCTGGGTGGAACAGCACAATATTTTATCATGCTACCCTTAATGGAATGCAATTTAAAATGTATGAACTGTTTATTTCTAAAATTTTCCATTTAATATTTGGACTATGGTTCACCATATGTAACTGAAACTGAGGAAAGCAAAACTATGGCTAAAGGGGGTTACTGTAGTAGGTAATTACAAAAAACAGGAGAACTGGTAAGAAAAAGACTAAAAGAAAGAGGTTATAAAGGAGAAGAGGCAGGTAATTCGTAATTCAGGAGAGCCTCTAGACCCCTAGTGTTCAAGTATAAATGTAAAGGTGTAAATGTAGGACACTCTACTTCCCAGTGTTAAAATAGTTCATTAGCTTTTTCTTCTCAGAGGATCAAGAGTGTTGAGTGGGCTGAATGGCAAACTGCCTCTAAAAAACCCTACATAAAAGTACAAAAGCACAAATTCTGAAGCTGTGTGTCTTCTAATCCTGGCTCTGCACTGACCAATGTGACTTTGGGCAAATTACTTAATTTTCTGGGCCTTGCTTTCTCCACCTGCAGAATAGGGGCAATTGTATCTGTCATACAGGTGGATAAGTACTGCATGATGATAACCTGAGATGCCAGTTGTAAAACTTCAAAGAAATTAAAAACATCATATAGACACAAGGCCTAGCAGATCAACGGAAAATGGGAGCAGGGGAGAAATGTGATCTCTTTTGGGAATTTCTCATTGCCAGTTACCTGAAACTTGCTTTGATCTGGCTGCTGCTGTTGACATAACCCTTATACTTCATGGAAAGTGACAAATCTCTAAGATCATACAGTCTGATTCTGGAGTCATTCGAGGTTACCAGTATCTAAAAATAAAAACAGAGAAAAATTAAATATATAATCTTTTAATCCAAGTTAAGCTATATTCAAAAAAGGGTGTATACACATACAGAATGCACCTCAAAACTAGAAAAAGTAGTATTCCATAGAAAAGGGACTATATTCTTAGCCAAGATATTAAGAACTAACTTTCAGAAGTCTACACACAGTACTGAGAGAGATGGTTTTGAATACTTAGTACCTTATTTTCTCCTGGTAAAGGCTCAATGCCAGTAATTTTTCTTCCAACCTTGTTGCGTCCTCTGGTAGAGCGGACATGTATTTGCGTGTGATATTTCAAATGCTAAAATGCAATCACAAATTTAACAGATCAGCATTAGAAGGAATATCAATGAGCATTTGATCCAGCTCACAGACATAATATTATTTGCTCCAATTTACAGATAAGGCGGTTAAGGCACAGAGAGGATAAATCAGTTTAATTCAAGACCACAAAAGCGTTTTACTTAGTATTCAATTGTGTAATTTACACAAGATATTCATTTACCTCTGTATCATAGAAAATGCACCTGCCATCATATGTCCCAATCACTGCATATTTGCCATTTTGACAGAAATTTGCAGCTGTGATCAACTTTGTTTGACCATCTACTTCATTCCACAAAGCCACTTTTTTGTCAGGTATGTTCCAAAGGCGGAGCTTTCCATCCAATGACCCGCTTAGAAAATACCTGTCATCCTAAAGGTGTGATGAAAGTTTAGAAAGCTTTCAGTTTACCACATCAAAAAAAAAAACTCATTATAGCAAATCAATACATTAACTCTATCAGAAAAGTTTAAAATATGTAGATCTCATTTAAAAATTACTATTCTTCAAGTAAGCATTACTTTATTCACTAAAAACAACAAGAATTAGAAAACATAATATTACTTTTGTAGAAAGGACATCGTGATCATTTTATCATATCCCTAAGTATGGATGTGAATGGATAATATGCTGAAATGTTAATTATGTAGGAGAAGGGTTCTATGATCAAATACAATAAGTCTGAAAAATTCCGAGTTACAGAAAATGAATCAAGATTCTCAGTCTCAGAAGACAGGTAAAGTAGGTGGCATTTTCCAGCTTATTTAACTATGGGCTTTTTTGGTGGAGAGTTGGTAAAAGGTCAGGGTAGGAACATTTAACAGGGCTAGTACCTTTGAGGAAAATGCTTTGGCAAAGACCAACCTATAATGATACATTTGCCTATAGCCTTTTCTGGGACACATGTTAACAGCTAGGGCAAAAAAGTAATGCCAGTTAGCTTACGGAATCAGTCAATTTTTGGTGCTCTGACACCATGTCAGCAGAGAATTGCTTCACTAATCAAAGTTTCAACCACATTCTCAATTTCATACCAGGTATTTGCATCCAGGGGCAACTTGGCCCCGTAGGGAACATGTAGCAATGTCTAAAGATATTTTTAATGGTCACAACTGGGGGTGGGGTGCTACTGACATCTAAGTGGGTGGAGGCCAGGAATGCTGCTAAACATCCTACAGTGTACAAGACAGCCTTCCCTCCCTGTAAAACAAAGAATTATCCAGCCCGAAATGTCAGCAGTGCCAAGGTTGAAAACCCTTGTTCTAAAATAAAACTAGGCATACCAGTAAGCTGGCCTAATTTTTGGTAACATAAGAATTAAAGATAAAATAATTGGAATGTCAAACTAGAAACAGATTCTCTTCTCTGCTCAAGATTATTCTTCTTACCCATCTTGACGCCTGTCAAAAATAATTTATACAGCTTGGGTATTTTTATGGCTATAGTATAGTAGGCTTGACTCAATGTCTACCAGCAGAAAAGCTGAACAAGTAAAAATAATTCACCTTGGCTTTACTAATTGCAGTTTTATTTACATGCATGTATATATAAATATATCTGTGTATATGTGTGTATCTCCATTTTGCTACTTCTTTTACAACCCTATCTATCTTCCTTTGAGATAACATTTAATGGAGTCATATTTCATAAGAAATTGTCAACATCACTCCATTCTCCCCTAGGGCCTCTTAAAAAAACCACTAGGTCAGTAGAATTTTTAGAAATAGGGCTTTTCGGTTTCCAAAATAAAACCAAAAAATATAGAAAAATTACTGACTAAACAGAAACATTAATAATAATGTACTATATAGATATACCTAATACTTCTCTCTTTCTACTAACACGTCATAGTTAAAACAGAGGTACAGGAAAGGATTTTGTTCACAGCTGCAGAAAGGGGTAAATCCATCCTTTTATTGCAATATTGGTTGACGGGTGGGGGTGCTACTCAGAAAGTCCTGATGGTTAAAAATGGTAGGTATTCACATACATTAAACATTTTTAATTTTGAGAGGTTCTTAACCAAATTTTTTAAGGGTTCAGAATTATTACTGCCTATGTTATAAGCTTGCCCAGGGAAGGAAATTACATTGAGGAAAACAGAAGTCACTCTTCTCTCTTCATCTGGGCAAAAAAGGGAAAGAAATGTGAATATAACGGAAACACTGCATTAAAAGGGTAATGGGTGTTAATCATATAGAGATGAGGATGTGATTGGAAATGTAATCATACATCAATGCAGGAGAGGGAAAGTAATCATACATCAACATGAGTCAGCTTAAGCTCCCCACTTTACTGTAACCTAGCTAGTGAAGCAGAAACAACATGTGACTCCCTTTGCGTATATAGTCGTAAACAATGAAAATTAATTTAGCCTGATGCATTTGATGGCTCTATCCTATATGGGCAGAAGACAGGTCTGCAATTCCATGACAGTAGACTTTTTCTTTTAGTTGAAATCATATAAAATACTTTCTTCCCAGAGGAAAGATACTAAAGGATTTTCTACATTGAAAATAATGCCAATTAAACTACAACTACAACCCCTATAAGACTGGCTCATACACTACCTGATTGATCAGTCAAGCAGATTGACCTATACACTATTCATGGAAGTGCACATCAGTGCACCTGTTCTGGAAAATTATGATGTATCTGATAAGCTAAAGTATACAATTCTCTCTAAAAAAAAGAAAATAAAAAAGAAGTGATATGAAGAATAACAATGCTTCTAGACATTAAATAGGAATTCAGCATTATCTTATAACAAATTATGGACTTTGCTTCTTTCAACCTTTTGGTGTTTGTCTCTTCCCTTCCCAGCCTTCCCACAACTATTCCTGCCTATTATGCTTCCCCTTCTCATTTATCCATTTGCTCACTTCTCTTCTTTCACCATTTCCAATCTCCCATCTTTAACAGGATCCTTTATTTATATCCTGCATTTCTTACTAAAGATTTAGAATGACTTTTCATTGTTATATTCAGAACATAACATTTTCAGTTCTAATAGAGATTAGCAAAATATTTATTTCCTTTCTAATTTTTTAAAGCAAAATGAAAGACTAAATTAAGTTGTTCTAAACTATGAGGCTGTTAATTTTTTTCCTGTAATCCAACTACCCTCCAGAGAAACCTGGTTCCCTCACCTTTCTTATAGTATAACAAAAAATGTATAAATGATTACTTACTCTTGGATGAAAAGCTATAGCAGTGACAAAATCTATATGCTGAAAACAGCAAAGGCATTCTCTTCTGGAAATATGCCATAATCTGACTGTTTTGTCCATTGAAGAAGAAAGCAGAAAGTAGTTCTACAAGAAAATTACCATTGATTATTTTACTACTATGTGGGAAAAAAGCTACACAGCATAAGAAAGTACAAAAGATGAGAAATAGACAAAAAATGTACTTGAAAAATAACTAAATAAAATTTTAAAAAGAAATTAAAAAAAAGAAAGTACAAAAGATTATACCCAATTCACTTGGAAGATCCCAGGTTTTTCAAAAACAATTAAATACCATTATTTCTTAGATTCTAAGACTTTTTCTCATTACCTATTCTGGAATTATACTGGAATTCAGCTCTGAATCTAAGGCAGGTATTCATCTGATTGTCATTTCAGTTATTTTTACATTGACAACACAAGCAAATTTAAACTCACATGGATTCTCTGTCACGTAAAATGCCTTCAAAAATATTACTCTATAATACAGCATGGAAATGAAAAGTTATTGTGCACCTGTCACACTGTAGACAAGAAAATTAGAGAATAGAAATTGTCAAATCCACAAGTGAAATAGAACCAGAGGCATGGAAACAAGGAACAGACTGACAGTGACCAGACGGGGAGGGGGATAATGGTGGAAAGAAGAGGAAGGGACTAGTCAAGGGACATGTATGAATGACCCATGGACATGGAAAACAGGGTGGGGACTGACTGTGGGAGCGGGAAGTGGGTGAGGCAGCAGAGAGCAATGAGGGAAAAATCGGAACAATTGCAACAGAACAATAAATTATTCAATTAAGAAAAAGTAAAAAAACAGAAAAGAAAAAAGAAAAAGAAACCGTCAAACCTCTCAGAATAGACCATAGAATTTTCAAAGCTAGAAAAGGGTAGTATTACTGATTTAGGCATTGTGATGGGGGATCACTCAGGAACCAAACGTCTATCTGTCAAATGCTTCCAGCTGCCCTGGAAGTTGGTTGGAGCATTGTCCCATGCGTGGAAAGGCTGTGGGTGTGATCCCTGGTCAGGGAACTTCTGAGAGGCAACTGATTGATCTCCCCCGCCACAAAAAAAGGCAATGAAAAAATGTCCTCAGCTGAGTATAAAAAAACAGAGCTTCCAGCTGGCAGAAGCTCTTTATTTCTAAACACAATGTATTTAAGGGGAGAACTATGAGTTATATCGAATGTGGAAACCCAAATGAGACCCTAGCATTCTTTGATATGCATAAAAGTGCTCAAGAAACTGAAGTACTGACAACATTTAATGAGTACTTACAATGCTCTGAACATTGTTCTTAGCACACCTCGAGGTAGGTATATTAGCCCCTTTTACAAAAGAGAACACTGAGGCAAAGAGGTTAAATAATTCGTCTGAGACCACACAGCCTGTCAGTGGCAGAGTGGGCAGTGTGGCTCTAGGTATGGGCTCTAATCACTATCCTGTTTCACAGAGTGCTTGAGTAGAAGACACTGTGGAAAACAACCAGATGCTTTGTCATTTCCTTAAAGCAATGAAAGACACCATTACACTTGATCGCTGAGAAGCAATAAAATCTTATATCTAAAAAAGTAGAAAGACTAAGCATAAATATTGATTTGGATATGTAACTGTACTGATACACATATGCTCTTTGGGCTAGTATATAAGGTACCAATTTTACATGGTTTACCTGGTTTTAAATAGATGGTGTATTTGTGATGAAAAAACAGAATTTTGAAAAATAAAATAAACTTGAAAAACAAAAATAGAAAACAAAATCAGAATTTTGAAAGATTTAAAATAACTTTAAAACACCTAATAACAATCATTTTTATTTTCAAGATCTACTTAGTTCCAGACAAGTGCAGTTTACTTTATATTTCCTCTTAAAAACAACCATATAAAAACTAAATCTATGGTCTGTTGTTCATTAAAACTAACTTTATTCAATTCATGCAGTAGTCCATTGCTTGAAGTATATGAAAAAATAGGAAGACATGCCTAGAAATGAAGATGCTGAAGACACGTTAAGATTTATTCTAATATGCCAAGAGATTTCTATTCAATAAATACTTAGTGAATTGGTAAAATTAAATTATTTTATTAAAGTAAGCATAATTTTGGGAGTCAAAGTAATTAGATTCAAATCTAAGTTCTGACCATAACTAGTTTTGTGATCTTGGATGGGCCAGAGGCCCTGTCTTCTAATCTAAAAGATAAAATATTATTTACCTCATATGGTTATTATTGTAACCATATTGTAAGAATTAATGAGGTAATTCTTGTTACCTGGTACAAAATAAGTCTTCAACAAAAAGAAGACCCACTGTAAACACCTATTGTGCTAGATACTGAAAAGAAAAAATAGTAAAATAAGATCTGGTCCCTATTGTCAAGGGGCTTGGAATCTTGCTGCAAACAAGACTTAAGAGTCCCAGCTGGTGTGGTTCAGTGGATTGAGCACAGGCCTGCGAACCCAAGGATCATTGGTTCGATTCTGAGTCAGGGCACATGCCTGGGTTGCAGGTCAGGTTCCCCTGTAGGGGGTGCATGAGAGGCAACCACACATGGATGTTTCTCTCCCCCCCTTCCCTTCTGTCTAAAAATAAATAAATAAATAATTTTAGTAGTTAAGTAAAAAATGAAAGTTTAATCCTTATGTATGCATAGCCTCTTGGTTCTGTTACTCTGGAGAACTATGACTGATACAGTGGTCAGTGGAAAAGTAGTGTCTTCCACTTAGTGTGACATTTCAGAAAAAATACTAGTTTGCTTTAACAAAATAAGATTAGTAGAACAAGAAAAATAAAATACCTAGGAATAAACCTAACCAAGGAGGTAAAAGACCTGTGTACAGAAAACTATACAACACTGAAGAAAGAAATCAAGGAAGACACAAACAAATGGAAACATATACCATGTTCATGGATTGGAAGAATTAACATCATCAAAATGTCCATACTACCCAAAGCAATATAAAGATTCAATGCAATACCTATTAAAGTACCAATGACATACTTCACAGACATAGGACAAACACTTCAACATTCATATGGAACCATAAACGACCCTGAATAGCTGCTGCAATTTTGAGAAAGAAGAGCAAAGTAGGAGGAATCACAGTACCTGATATCAAACTGTAATACAAGGCCACTGTAATCTAAACAGCCTGGTACTGGCATAAGAACAGACACACAGACCAATGGAACAGAATAGAGAGCCCAGAAATAAACTTGAGTCTGTATGGTCAATTAATATTTGACAAAGGGGGCAGTAGCACAAAATGGAGCAAAGATAGCCTCTTCAACAAATGATGTTGGGGGAGCTGGACCGCTACATGCAAAAAAGTGAAACTCGAGCACCAACTTATACCATACACAAAAGTAAATTCAAGGTGGATAAAAGATTTAAATATAAGTTGTGACACCATTAAAATCCTAGAGGAGAACACAGGCAGGAAAATCTCAGATATTCCATGCAGCAATATTTTCACTGATATGTCCCCTAGAGCAAGGGGCATAAAGGAAAGAATAAACAAATAAGATCTCATCAAAATAAAAAGCTACTGCTTGGCTAAAGAAAACAGCATTAAAATGAAAAAAGAACCTACTGTATGGGAAAACATATTTGTCAATGACACCTCGGACAAGTGCTTGATCTCCACAATATATAAAGAACTCACATGATTCCACTTTAAGAAGACAAGCAACTCAATTAAAAAATGGGCAAAGGACTTGAATGGACACTTCCCCAAGGAGGACATACAGAGGGTCCAGAGACATATCAAAAGATGCTCAGTATCGCTAGCCATCAGAGAGATACAAATTAAAACCACAATGAGATACCACTTCACATCAGTGAGAATGGCCATCACAAACAAAGCAACAAACAACAAGTGTTGGTGAGGATGTGGAGAAAAGGGAACCCTAGTGCAGTGTTGGTGGGAATGCAGACTGGTACAGCCACTGTGGAAAACAGTATGGAACTTCCTCAGAAAACTAAAAATGGAACTGCCTTTTGACCCGGCAATTCCACTGCTGAAATTATATCCTAAGAACCTGAAACACCAATTCGAAAGAGCCTATGCACCCCAATGTTCATAGCAGCACAATTTACAATAGCCAAGTGCTGGAAGAAACCCAAGTGCCCATCAGTAAATGAATGGATCAAGAAACTATAGTACATCTACACAATAGAATTCTATGCAGCAGAAAGAAAGAAGGAGCTCCTACCCTTTGCAACAGCATGGATGGAACTGGAGAGCATTATGCTGAGTGAAATAAGCCAGATGGTAAAAGACAAATACCATATGATTTCACCATAAAAAGGAACCTAATCAACAAAACGAAGAGGCAAGCAAAATATAGCCAAAGACACTGAAATTGAGAACAGGATGACAGTGATCAGAAGGGAGAGGGGAGGGGATAATGGGGGAAAAAGGTGAAGGGTTTACATGAACAATTATAAAGGACATATGGGCCCTGGCTGGTACAGTGCAGTTGACTGAGTGTGGGCTGCGAACCAAAGGGTTGGTAGTTCAATTCCCAATCAGGGCACATGCCTGGGTGCAGGCCAGGTCCCCAGTGAGGGCCATATGAAAGGCAACCACACATTGATGTTTCTTTCTCTCTCTTTCTCCTTCCCTTCCGTTCTGTATAAAAACAATAAAATAAAATAAAATCTTAAAAAAAATAAATAAAGGACGTATGGACAACAACAAGGGGTGGAAATGGGGAAGGGAGGTAGGGAGGGCAGGGATGGTGGGGAGGGATGAGAAGAAAAGGCAGAAAACTGTACTTGAACAACAATAACAAATAAAGTAAAATAAAATTAGTGCAAGGCTCCCAAATGTGTGCTTTGCACTAACTGCTCCAGATGAATAAAATGATCAGATTAAGGATTACATTTCTATCTTCTGACAACTCAGTCAGATTTCATGCCAAGTGGAGGAGTACAAAGATACAATTAGGGCTCAGTTGAAAACCAGAGTACAAAGTAAGATCCAAGTTTCTTTCAGGTTAGAGAAAGTCATGACTGATGTGCTATGAAAAGCACCTAGACATCTAAATAAGCATGACGGGAACAGCAATTCATAAATTGAGTGGTTCGAAGCTGAAGCTCAGGGAAATCTGGACTTGCCAATTTATACAAATGGTACCTTTGTGGCACATGAGGTTCTCCTGACATGGTTATTATATAATGGGCATCGCCAGTATCCCTCATAGTATTTTGTTAACTCAGTTGACTTTTCTCAACTTCAGGTTTTTAAATACTACTCCCCCCCATCAAATTCTTTATATATTTTAGATTCTGATTATTGACAAATTTCAATATAAAGAAAGTGTATGATGTCATGCAAAAATTCAAAAAGTGCTTCCTGCTTTAAAGACCTTCAGACAAATTCAAAATCTCTTTAAAATTTCACAAAATTGTGCAAATATTTGATCAGTGGTCAAACAGACCTTCTACTTCTGAAATAATTTTTTTCTAAGGGGAAAAATCACAAAATTAAGGTTTATCATTGATTCACAGAATATGAACGTTAAACCTAAATTTATAATCTCACTAATGTAGCAGATTAGCCCCAAAGCAGTCTTGATTAGGTAAGATCAGACTTCACCTTTGTAGATGAAGTCAGATCCATTTTGCTTAGGATACTTTGCAAAATTATAAAAGAGGCAAAAGGTCTAGTACATAAATAGATACAGATAGAAGCTGTTAAGTAATATAAACATTTTCTTATGAGCCTAATGTGATATCTTTTTAAAATTTTGATTAATTTGTACAAACTGCACACAGTGTATATATGAACATTCAAACACTTGACAGCATGACAGTTATACAAATCAAAAATGTTTTTATCCTAAAGTATAGTAACACAGAATTAATACACAAATAAAAATTTCCTACTTTAGACCATGAAAGATCAAGGAGATCAGCAGTATGTCCTTTATATTTGCAAAATGGCCGTTGTCGAAATGGTGCATTTTTATCATCGGGGTCTTCATCAGCTCCACTGCATACCTATGTAGACAAAGACAAATCTGAAAACTAGTGAAACAAAGACTTTATGCACTTCCCACCCTATCTGTTCTCCCATCATTTTGCATGGTGCTTGATTGAAACCTTGATCCACCAAAAGCCAACTCCCCTTTATACTGAAATTGCTATTATCACCTCTTCACCTCCTTGACCTAATAAATAACAAACCAAGATAATGAACTGAAGACATTGTGCTAACACAATCTTCTCCCTCCCTAACAGAGCCAGCACCACAGGGTGATAGGCTAATCAAAATGAGCTCATTCCCTTTTTCAGTGATAACTGGTTTAGAAATGGGCACATGGTACAATTTTGATCTATTAGACATGAGGGAAGGTTTATTGTAGGAGGCAGTAGGGGGAGGCTCTAAAACGATTTCCTTGTTCTTAAAAGGGCATACTAGAAGAGTCTTTCCGCTTTCCTGCTTCCCAACATTGTTATCTGCAGGTGACACCTATGGGTGGTAGGGAACATCAGAGGGACCATGAGGGAAACCATCCCAAGAGAACAACAGATCAAGAATAGCAAAGCAGGAAGATGGTAGGACCCTGTGTCCCTGCTGATACTACTGAGCTGCTCAATTAGCCACCCCTGGAACGGCCTTACCTCCAGACTTGCTTCCTCATTGTTTAAGGCATTTTCAGTTGGATTTCTGTTAATGGAAGTCGAAAGCATCCTGACAGAGGTAGGTGAAAAATAATGCCATTCTTGTGTGCTGTGCATTTAGTTTACAACATGCTTCTGTAGTCATTATCTCAATGAATCCTAACAGGTCTGAGAGGTAGGTATTAGCATTATGAAGATACAGAGATGAAGAAAAAAATTAGGTCTCCAAGAGGTTAAAATAACAGATCAACGTCACATAGCCACCTGCAAACAGCAGAACCAAAGCAGAAATACAAGCCATTCGACTTCAAGTTCAGAGACTGTTCCTGAAATGTTATAGAGGATACTAGCATAAGCAAAAATATAGAGTGTTAGCTAAGCCTTAAGGGTAGGTAGGATGATGAGGATGGAGAAAATAGTATATGGGGATTAAAGTAAAAGGGTACTTTGAGACCTGATCATAAAGAGTCTTGAATTTGTGGCTTAAAAGTTGAAACATTCTCCAATGCAATGGAGAGTCAAGACGAGTTTCTGAAAATAAAAAATTACATGATCTGACTGGTGCTTTAGGAAGAGAACGCTGGGCAATACTGTAAAAGACCATCTAGAGAGAGAGAATGGAAGCAGGAAGAGCCATAAGTTTAAGTAAGAATAATGAGGGTTTAAACTAGAACAGTGGGCATGGGGCTAGATTAAAAGCTACCAATTTTATTGGTCTAGAATTTTACAGCTAATAAAAATATCTTCACAGCTTCTGTGGAGATAGACCAGGCGCACAAATGCCCTGACCTTTTGCCAAGTACTACTAATCCTAGATGACTATAGCTACCTCCCCTAATTTTGCTGCCAACCCCAGGGGCACTGCTGAAACATATAAACTAGGCAGGCTTTTCCCATTACATCCAATTCCACCTTGTCTTAAATAATTGTTTACATTTAATTAACTCCTTAACATATTTCCTCTAGCAGTGACTCCAGATCTCTTCCTCCTTAAATATCCATTTTCTTCTCCTCATACTCTCCCCTTTAAAAAATACTTAATGTTTTTTAAAGTATTTTTAAAGATTTTTATTTATCTTTAGAGGGGAAGGGAAGGAGAGAGGGAGAGAAATATCAATGTATGGTTGCCTCTTATGTGTCCCCTGCTGGGAACTGGCCTGCAACACAGGCATGTGCCCTGACTGGGAATCGAACCGCGATTCTCTGGTTTGCAGGCCTGTGCTCAATCCACTGAGCTCACCAGCCAGGGCTTTAATGTTTTTCTGATTATAAAGTAATACATGTTCAGTGTAGATAATTCAAACTCCCCCAGAAAGTAGGATGATTAAAATCAATACTACCCATAATCTGCTAACATTTTGATCTTCAATCTTCCTTTTAAAAAAACATAACTGAAATCATATTATATACATGACTCAGTACCTTCCTTTTCATCACGTCATGACTGTTTTCTGTACTCCACTCTTTGAAAACATTTATGAGCTGCATATGAATGCTGCATAATTTAGTCATTCTCCAATATCTTGCTCATTCAGGCATTTCCATTTTTTCTAATATAAATGGCAATTCAACGAACAATCTGGAACCTGAATCTTCAGCCCTATTTTATTAAAAAAAAAATTCTCCTGGCTGATGTAGCTCAGTGGATTGAGCGCGGGACTGTGAACCAAAGGGTCACCAGTTTGATTCCCAGTCAGAGCATATGCCTGGGTTGCAGGCCAGTTCCCAGCAGGGGACACACGAGAGGCAACCATACATTGATATTTATCTCCCTCTCTCCTTCCCTTCCCCTCTAAAAATAAATAAATAAAATCTTTAAAAAAATTCTAATATAAGGGCTATTACCAGGTCAAAAGGTTTAAACTTGAGACTTTTATAGTATCATCTGTTATTTGTTTTAATAAAAGCAGGTAAGTTTATTTAAAATTTTTCAAGAAATATAGATGTATAGTCAAAAAATGACAAAATCCTACCTCTTACAGATAACTACTAGTAATAATTTAGAGTGAACCCTTTATGTTTTTTATCTATAAGTATTTAGACATTTTAGTCAAAATTGGGATAATATTGTATCCGATTTTCATTCTGCTTTTTTCACATTACATTTTATTTTGAGTATTTTTAATGTCATTAAGTAGTCTTTGAGAAAAATTTAAGAATGGAATAATATTCTACTGTATGGACTATTACATAGTTTTTATTTTCCAACAGTTAAAAATTTAGCTTGTTCAAATTTTTGCTCTTGTGAGAACATTGAGATGAAAATCCTACTACCTACATTTTTGGGCATATCTGATTACTTCTTTATAATTTTTTTAAAGGTAGAATTATTAAAAATAGAATTACTAAGTATATTAATAGAATTTACTTAAAGTATATTAAGTAAATAAAATATACTTTAATTTATATATCTCTTTAAATAGATCTCTGTATCTAGAGATATTTATGTCTACATAAATATTTTCATATATAGATATAATATGTAAAACTTTATTATGAACATTTCAAACATATATGGAAATAGAATATAGTAAATAGTATAATGAACCCCATGCATCCATTGCCTGCTTTAACAGTCATGATTTTCACTCATCTTGTTTTATCAATCCTCCCACTTTTATGTATTTGCTTACTTTTGCTGGAGCATATCAGTAAATACTCTATGTGCATCTCTAACTAACAAGCCCTCTTTTAAACATAACTACAAAGCCATCACCACACCTAAAAAACACAATTTGTATCATATAATAACAGGGGTGTCAAACTCATTTTCACCGGGGGACACGTCAGCCTCACGGTTGCCTCCAAAGGTCCAAAATAATTTTAGGACGGTATAAATGTAACTTCTCTTTAACTGTTCAGGAGTTGAAATTACATTCCGCCCTTTGAAGGCAACTGCGAGGATGATGTGGCCCCTGGTGAAAACAAGTTTGACAGCCCCGATCTAATATCTAACCCATATTCAAATACCCTGATTATCTAAAAATATAATTTTAAACTGGGACTGCTATGAAAACTTGTAAGCCTTTTTGATATTTAGTAGCACTTACCAGATACTGTATTAGTTACTTGGCATACCAAATAAATGACATAAGCTTTTTAACATGTCAGATTTATGTCACTCTCTGTTCAAAAACCCTCTATTAGCTTCTATCTTTCTCAAAACAATAGCCAATGTCCTTGCAATGGCCCATACGCTATGACTGCCCCATCTACATCTTTGTGACTTTATTTTCTATTATTCTCCCCATCACTCACTGGCTCCAGCTACCCAAGCCTGGATGCTGTTTCTGTAACATAACAGAACTCCTGCATTGTAGCAGTTTTGGTTGCTGCTCACTCTACCCGGAATTTTCTTCTACAAATATAGCCATATGATCCCTTCCTCACCTCCTTCAGATTTTGCTCAAATGACAAACTCTTGGTGAAGCTTTGCTTGCCCACCTTATTTACTCCTGGTCACTCCATTTTATCTGCTTTCTTTTACTCATAAAATTTATCACCTTCTAATATACTACAAAATTCACTTATTTCTCTGTCTCCCACTACTAGAAATTTGAATTTCCTCACAATAGATATTTGTGTCTTTTTTGTTTACTATATCCCTAATTCCTAGAGCAGTGATTAATACATAATAGGCACTCAATAAATACCTGTAGATTAAATGAAGACAGTGCCAGGCCTTAAGATGCCAACTAGTGGAGCATAATGGGTAAGAGCATGAGGTCTAGAAACAGATCAGAGCTGGGTTCTAATTCCGACACTGTATCTATCAACTGCATGAATTGGTGAGTTACTTATTATCTCCTAAGCCTTCTATTCTTCATCTATAGAACAGAGTTCTTAGAGTATTTCACAACAGTATCAGGTCTATGAGATGAGACATCAAGTGTACTTTATTAGCAAAGTACCTGGCACACAGTAAGGGCACAAACAAAATATTAGCTGTTGCTATATACATTGATACAGTAGAATAAGTGCATTTAACAGAAATATGGGCGAAGTACCCATATGAATAATTATGCATTAAGTGAAGCAAGTAATGCTTCCGGGAGTAGACCTGACTCTGAAATAAATTTATGAGGTAAAGGAGAATAGCAAATGTAAATACACGGAATCCACAAAAGGGCAACGATGAATAACCAAGTGGCTCAGAAGATAAGGTCTGTGAGAGGGAAGGGTGGGAAATAAAATGAACTGAGGTCGGACTGATCTCTATAAAGGCTGAGTCAAGCTAAGGAATTTGGCCTTGATTCTAGAGGAAAAAAGAGTGCCAAAAGGAGTGATTAAATAGGAGTAACATGATCAGATTTGTTTTACAGGAAAGTAATTCTGCTGGCATTGTGGATGAAAGACTGGAATCTGGGAAAGAGCTC